AATACCCACAAATCATAAAGGCCTATAAACATATCCAAAGGTTAGACCAAGCAATTGAAGAGTCTCTATAGGAATTAAAGAGCTTCTTGATTCTAGTGTGGGCCATTATACCATGCCTAAAATTTGCATTCCTTTCACAAACACAACAGAAAGTACTATTAAAAGAATTCCTATTGATTGTTGAATGTTGTTTGGTGCTGTTGGTTCCATCCTCTGTTTTTCAGCCAATTATATGTTCTTATTTGAACAAACAGGTCTACCCCGTAGATTTGATGGCAAGCGAAAGAGAGGGGAATCCCGTGCCAAAGCCAAACTTGATCAAACAGCTACTCTTGAAGAAGTGAACATGAAAAAGGTTAACTACCGGTCGAATATAACTGGATTGGTGAAACTGTTAAAGGATACAAAATTTACAAGTGGTCAATTGAAGTGCCTTAGAAAAACACCGCTTTGGCCCTTATTTGATTGCTCGATCAGTAATGAAGTCGACCTCAACCACTGCATGAAATATGATGATGTCATTGTACGTATAGTGCAGACATTCAAGCCATCTAGTGGGAGGTTTTACATTGGGGATAAGAACATCCAGATTTTTAGAAGCGATGTATCACTGATTTTTGGGGTGGACTGTGGCACCAAGTCGATGGACCTCTCTTATGGTGCAAAACCAACAACCGACATCATACACCGAATGTGCAAGGATGTTAGTCGGTTAAGTGCTGCCAAAATACGAGAAATTTTGAGCGAAGCATTGAAGGGCACAAAGAAACAAGACAGTGAAGAGGTCGCAAGATTAGTTTGCATGTATGCATGCGTCAAGCTATTCTTTTCTACGTCCAGAGAAACAATTGGATGGGCTTTCTACTCATACATGGACCCATTAGATAACATGATCGAGTATGACTGGGCTGAGAGCATCTGGGCAACCCTGATGCGTTCATTGGGCCAAAACTGTGGAAAACCAGGACGAGTCACCAGATGTGTGATGCTGTTAATAGTAAATCTCATAAAACTTATTCTATGTTTAATATGAACATTTACGGGGTCTGCCCACTCTGATGTGAATGTTCACATTATTGGGCAATGGTGTGGAAGTCGACATCAGTAATGTAAACATTCACATTACTGTTCAGTAATGTACAAACACACATTAGTAGACGCTGGTGTAAACATTCACATCAGTGTAGATTCATGTGATGTTAGCACCAAAACAAATGTGGAACATTCACATTACTGATGCGAATGTTCACATTATTCTGCAATGGTGTGGAAGTTGACATCAGTGATGTAAACATCCACATTACTGTTCAGTAATGTACAAACACACATTAGTAGACATTGGTGTAAACATTCACATCAGTGTAGATTGATGTGATGGTAGCACCAAAACAAATTTGGAACATTTACATTACTAGGCAATGGTGTGGAAGTTGACATCAATAATGTGAACATTCACATTACTGTTCAGTAATGTATAAACACACATTATTAGCCACTGGTGTAAACATTCACATCAGTGTTAATTGATGTAAACATTCATATTACTGGCCACTGGTGTAAACATTCACATCAGTGTTAATTGATGTGAACATTCACATTACTGGCCACTGGTGTAAATATTCACATCAGTGTTAATTGATGTGAACATTCACATTACTGATATTTGTTATTTGTTTCAATACTGGTTGTGTGAGCATATAACAATCTTACAACCCCGCAACCCCAATGCCATTCCGCGATGTGTCAAGTGGGACCTCACAGCCTTACATACCAACATGAAGTCCATATCTTTGGCTAAGCTTGGTTTAAATGAGGTAGAAGTACAACAAAAAATATTGTGCCATTCACATAGTGAGACAAGTAACTATCTAACTAACATAATGTCTCCAACTGCAGGCATGTAACGCCCTCAAAAAAATAAACCCATCATAGCCTACATTCACGATAAAGAGAAGAGATTTCATATTACAATCATCAGAGTATTCTTACAAAAGGTATTACATGTTGACAACAAAAGTAAATGCCCTTATAGGCTTACAACTTTCCAAGTCAACACTTGGTTACAAAAAGGAGAGTACTAACTCTACACAAAATAAGCCCTTGGCTTGATATACATGTAATACAACAAAAACAACAAAAAAAGAGTCTAATAGCCTCAAGCCTCCCAAGCTACGTCCTTGGAGGTGGCATAACACCTGTTCCTGAAAATGATATCTCATATAGGGTGAGTCAACGCCCAATAGAGATATGCTAAACATAATCTGAGCAAAAACTAAAACATTAGCATTTGATAAATGTTTAACCCACATAAATCAATTCATAACCCAGTTCAATTACATGACAAATATGTCCATGTTTCATTCCTCTTTCCTTTACTTAACCGATTTTCAATTCATTGACATGGCTCAGAACCTGGCCAAACAATTCCCATGAGACCACAGCTCACATCAACAATACTTCCATAATTCACAATAGATACACATATTTGCTGTATCAATAACACATTTAAACACTTCCATACTTCACAATAGATACACATATTCGTTGTATCAACACTTCAATAGATACACATATTTGTTGTATCAATGGAGTCCATCCCCTATCTCCTCCCAAATAATATCCGGTTTAGGAGTCCATCCCCTATCTCCTCCTAAACCGTGGAGTACATCCCGTATCTCCTCCCACACAACACAATGTATATAAACACATATTATATACATAATCAATCAATACATAAATTTAATGTATTATTCCAACCATTGTATTCAATGACATATTCCATTGATTAATTTTAATTCGCCTAATCATCATGCATTGTCTACAACAATCAAGACTATCCTCCACCGATAGCCCAAAGCAATTATTTCTAAACAGATAATAATTTCATCCAACAGATAAATTATCAACAATTTTCACAGGTGAGTGATTAATAATTCCAACTCCACCATTCTATCTCATAATGAGTCAATTTCATTATTCCCAACTCAATTTCACATATCCACAATTTTCCAAATTAATTATACCAATTAATTTATATAATAAATTAGGGCTTCCTCCCCCATTTCTCAATATTGACCCAAAGGTCCAAATACCAACCACATATAACACTAATCTCATGTTAAGACCCAACATACTCATGTATTGTCCCAAAGAACGAAACCCCTTTTTTCCAATATAACACATCTCAAACCCTAACTTCCCAAATCAAACCATTTATACAAAAAGCTTAACATTTAGATTAAAGCTCATAAAAAAGAGTAGTTATCCCTACCTCAAGAGATGAAACCAAGTGGAGAAGATGAAGAAATTTGAAATGCTCCAAACCCCAAGATTTTCAGATTGATAGATAGCCTACACCAAGCTCTACACTTTTTACAAAGGGACAAGCGTGGGGGATCACTCAAACTAGATCAAGCCTTAGAGAGAAGTTGTCTTTTTAGAGAGAGAAGCTCTCTAACGGAGATTTTGAAAAGTAAGAAAGAGAGAGAGAGAGTGTAAAAAGTGATTTAAAATATCACAGTCCAGATCTGATATACGCATGACCCGCTCGAACGGAGAATAGGGCGCTCGAGCGTCAAACACAAAAACTTGATCTGCTCGAGCGCTAAAGGACCCGCTCGAGCGCCAAGGCACAAAACAAAACACCACCCGCTCGAGCGCAAAAAGGGAATCCGCTCGAGGGTAGATTACATCCCCCCAGATCTTTTACAGACATTGAACACCCGCTCGAGCGCAAAGAGACCCGCTCGAGCGTGACCAACTTGAGCGTAATGAAACCCGCTCGAGCATGAAAAACACATCTACAGTAGTTTTGCAGACGTACAAGATACTGAAAGTGTGCAAACTCCGTTCGAGCGCAAAGGGACCCCGCTCGAGCGGATCACCAAAAACCTGGGCAACAACACTTGAGACCAAAACTCAACCCACCTGTTTGAAACATGCCCAAAACAATTTAAAACCCAAATATATGGAACTAAAGGATGACAACAAGACATATACAACAACCAACTCCACGGAACCTAAGTCCGGATACAACAAATAAGGAAGGGAAAACCGGGATCGCTATAAGGTATATGGCGGCGAGCTAATGGCATCCCCAACTGAAGCGAAGATGTACCATCATACAAAATTGAATGTGGAGCCCAAACCTGAGGTTTTGTCAAGTGCACCAGCCAAGAAAGATGAAAGCAATGATGATTAAAGCAAAGACAGTCAACACAGTGACGCCAGAGATGGATTTTCTATCGATGTAATGGACCTAAATGATGTTGGACATGACATCAACCCCAGCTTTAACACCCCTAATTTTGAGAGAGGTATCATCATAGCACAACCAACTAAGCCGGACATTGTGGATGCACTTATAAAAGAAAACCAAAAAGATTGGGGTCTTGTACGACAATGGGAAGCAAAATACAAATAGTTGGAAGAATCATGGAAGTTGAGGGCAAGGCTGATTGCTGCCATTGAAGCCAAACTATTTGACCAATCGGGCCCATCTAATATGGACATGGACATCAAGAATTGCATGGAGTGGAAAGATACATAAATTCAATGGCTGACAAAGTTGGTCATCAACTTGGAATGTGAAAAAACAATTCTTCAAGACCTTTTTGACGATCAGTCTGTTACATTATCACTCAAGTTGAAGCACAAAAGGCTCATGACAGCCTTAAGAAGCATCCCACTGCAGCATTGGAACACATTATTAGCCCACCATCGAGGGTAAAGCGCATCAAGCAGAAGGTAAAGCGCATCAAGCAGAAGGTAAGGAAAGAGCACCGGTTGGATGAGTTTGAATACCCCAACTTGCCTGGTCAAAAGAAAGGGAAAAAGGGAGCTGAAGAGCAATCCCATGCAGTCCAAATTGCACAAGATTTAGACAAGCATCCACAAAAAAAGCACCCAACAAAGTACAAGAAGTTAACCTTGAACAACAAACTAAAGGTTTGGGCCAACATGAGCAAACTCAACAAGCAGAAGGTCCAAAATTTGTACAAGAATGGCGGTGATGAGTAAGTGATCTTACATATCCCCAACTGAATTTTTTTTTTTTTTGCTTATGTTCAGTTCACATACATACTTAATAAATTAGATCATTTCATAAATGTGCAATGTTGACATTAACGTTTTATGTAATCACAATGCACAGGTTGCTAGTGTGGCGAGGGGACTCAAAGACTAAAGATGTGTATTTTGATGACATCATACACATCATCAAGGAAGAATCAATAACCAACAACGTATGACAATTGTAAATTTGTACAAAACACACACACACACACACACACACACACACACACACACACTCACATACACTATAAAGACACTACAAATAATGTACTGCCACCCCTCTGTTTCTGCAGGTGATAGATGCATATGGTGAAATTCTACTTGAACTACAAGGGCTAGTCAACCCAAGTTTGGAGGATTCAACATTCATCTTTACAAGCACATGTTTGGTAACCACTAGACTTTTGGTTTGTTTATGTTTCAATAGATGTCAATGTTCATCTCAGCATTATATGCTTATATTGTTAACTTAAATGATAGGCAGATGTGAATGTTAACAACAACATAAAATGACAGGTCTGAACATTCACATTGACAGATGTGAACATTAACATCATTCGCAGTAAACATTAAATGCTTATTATGTTGTTAACTTAAATGATACACAGATGTGAATGTTAACAACATCATAATATGACAGGTGTGAACATTCACATCTGTAATACATTGCATACTGTTTCACAAATTAATAGATGTAAACATTCACATCATTCACATCACTCATCATTAACAGATGTGAACATTCACGTCATTCACATCACTCACATTAACAGATGTGAACATTCACATCACTCACCATTAGCAGATGTGAACATTCACATCATTCACATCGAACATTGATATAAATACTTGGTACATTATTGTATGCCCTTTGTGTGCAGAAAATCGTGCAAGAGTACCCCCCACAAGAGAAATAAACTAATTGATGTACACATCAAGGAGTATCAAGGCCAGAGATTCTTAATCTTCCCAATACACGACAACTTTCACTGGACAATTGTTGTGTACGACGTGAAAGAGAATGTATGGAGGCATTATAACTCGCTGCGCCCAATAGAAGGCATACATGGCCCACATATTGACAAAGAACAAATAGTGGTAAGTGGCTGACACATATGGCTGACACATATAATATTTGTCATGATGTGTAATATTTGAACTTGGACGTATGCACTATGTTGGTTGGTGCCTAATATGAAATTTCATTGTTGGCAGAGGGACTACATTGAGGCTTTGGTGCACAACATCAGACCATCATCACCATTATGGACCAAATTATTAAGCCAAAATACTTCGCAACCAATCATATCAATAGACATCTGTCCTCAGCAAGCATCAGATTCGTAAGCCTAAAATCGATTTGTACACATGTTCCACAACCATTACCTACCTAAATTTCAAAATGTAACAAGAAGTTTGCATTTTCAGGTTGGATTGTGTGCCTGCAGTTTGTTACATCATGAGGGCGCATGTATACCGTGAAGACATTGTTGCCAGCCTAGATCGCTTTGAATGGTGTCAAATAAGAGACTCATTAGTACACATTTTTCTGAACCACAGAAAGACAGTGCAATGTGAAAACCTATAGGTGGGGGGTGTCCACCTATCACTGTTACCCAAATCTGTTATCCACATTTAAGACAATTTAGTGTCAACAGATTTTACATATTGGAGCAGACCAGCTTAATTGTAAATCAAGTCTATATCACTGCTTGTACAGATATTTTTCAGTCAATATATGTATATGCATTTTCAGGCCTATTTTGCGTTGGTCATGCACATTGAGATTGTATTTCCTTTTTTTTTTTTAACACATGACATGATGTGAATGTTCACATCACAGAATGATCATACACTTTCTTATGTTTTAAACCATATTACATGGATGTGAATATTGCTTAAAGTGTTCATGTAACACAATATGACAGGTGTGAATATGATATTTCTTAACAGAAGTCAATATTCACATCTAATAATTTGATGATGTGAATATTCATATCATAACTTCTGATTATTTGAATGGCAACAACGATGTCATGAATATTCACATCTTATGAGTTGATGATGTGAATGGTTACATTGATGTAAACGTTCATGTCATCTACTTTGATGCTGTTAACAGTAACAAGAATGTGAACATTCACACCACAGAAATGTTTAAAAGCTCAACCCATGTGCAATTATTCACATAATGTGATTATATTACACAAGTGTGAATGTTAACATCATGCATTCATCCAAAACACAACAACATAAATGTCAAATTGGTACCTTAAAAAATTAAAAATAAAACACAAATCAAATACTAATGCATTATTATGCTTGCCAACACAATACAATGTTTGCCAACACAACACAATCTTATTTCAAAAATGAATATAAGAATCCAATGTAAAACACAATGTTGAAATGAAAAATGTACATCCTATATCCGCTCTGTGCATGATTTCCAATTATGGCTCCCCAACTTATCACATCTCCCGCACCTTATTTGCTTCAGTTTCTCACCCCTTGATGGGATCCTATTCTTTTTCGGCCTTCCGGGTGGTCTTTTCACAGTTGGCGGGTATATAGTGAAGTCCGTGGGATCAAAAGGCGGCTTCTCCACCGATGGTATAGGGAATATGGCACCCGAATAGGCTGTACGATATGTCTCTACATGAAAGTAATGTTCCACACAATCATTGAGATTGTAGCGGCTTTTCTGAATAGCAATAACATCATGGTCACATGAGAATCCGTTAATTTGCCATTTGAAGCAAGAACATGTACGCCTCGCAACATCAACTGTAACAGATGGTATCGAATGAACTTCAAACACATCCTCATTGGCTTTGCTAACTTGCCAAGACCTGCTGTCATTGAACGAATCCATAAGCCTTGTTTCGAATGTAGGACAAATAAGCTCATTCCATTTGTTTTCTTGGTCACGCCATGCAGACATTTGCCTCATCAACTGAGTACGAATTGTGTCCACCATTTGAGTGATAAGAAGATTACGTTCTTCTTTAATCCAGTTATTAAATGACTCCGTCGCATTGGATGTCATCTCCCCATAACGCATGCCCCTGCACAATATCACAAACATTGTACAATACGAAATTTAACAGGTCTGAACATTCATGTTGACAGATGTGAACATTAACATCACTCGCAGTGAACATAATATGCTTATTATGTTGTCAACTTAAATGATAGACAGATGTGAATGTTAACAACAACAAAATATGATAGATGTCAACATTCAAATCTGTAATACATTACATGACTGTTTGACAAATTAACAGATGTGAACATTCACATCAGTCATTTGCCGGATTTGGACTCTTTAGTTCAGACTTAGAACCGTGACAACAAAGTCGAGTCCGAGCTGTAGCGAGGTCCCCCGCGGGCTTGTTACACCATGTAAACATTTACATTGCCCTATAACTGTTGTTGTTTCCGGAATTGATTTTGCAAACATAGATGATGTGAACATTCACATTACAATACTGGATAAACTAATATTAGTAGACACTGATGTGAACATTCACATCAGTGTATAATGATGTGAATGTTCACAGTACTGTCACTGTTGATTGTTGAATGTTGTTTGGTGCTGTTGGTTCCATCCTCTGTTTTTCAGCCAATTATATGTTCTTATTTGAACAAAGAGGTCTACCTCGTAGATTTGATGGCAAGCGAAAGAGAGGGGAATCCCGTGCCAAAGCCAAACCTGATCAAACAGCTGCTCCTGAAGAAGTGAACATGAAAAAGGTTAATTACCGGTCGAATATAATTGGATTGGTGAAACTGTTAAAGGATACAAAATTTACAAGTGGTCAATTGAAGTGCATTAGAAAAACACCGTTTTGGCTCTTATTTGATTTCTTGATCAGTAATGAGGTCGACCTCAACCACTGCATGAAATATGATGATGTCATTGTACGTATAGTGCAGACATTCAAGCCATCTAGTGGGAGGTTTTACATTGGGGATAAAAACATCCAGATTTTTAGAAGCAATGTATCACTGATTTTTGGGGTGGACTGCGGCACCAAGTCGATGAACCTCTCTTATGGTGCAAAACCAACAACTGGCATCATACACCGAATGTGCATGGATGTTAGTCGGTTAAGTGTTGCTAAAATATGAGAAATTTTGAGCGAAGCATTAAAGGGCACAAAGAAATAAGACAATAAAGAGGTCGTAAGATTAGTTTGCATGTATGCATGCGTCAAGCTATTCTTTTCTACGTCCAGATAAGCAATTGGATGGGCTTTCTACTCATACATGGACCCATTAGACAACATGATCGAGTATGACTGGGCTGAGAGCATCCGGGCAACCCTGATGGGTTCATTGGGCCAAAACTGTGAAAAACCAGGACGAGTCACCGGATGTGTGATGTTGTTAATGGTAAATCTCATAAAACTTATTCTATGTTTAATATGAACATTTACGGGGTCTACCTACTCTGATGTGAATGTTCACATTACTGGGTAATGGTGTGGAAGTTGACATTAGTAATGTAAACATTCACATTACTGTTCAGTAATGTACAAACACACATTAGTAGACGCTGGTGTAAACATTCACATCAGTGTAGATTCATGTGATGTTAGCACCAAAACAAATGTGAAACATTTGCACTACTGATGTGAATGTTCACATTACTCCGCAATGGTGTGGAAGTTGACATCAGGGATGTAAACATTCACATTACTGTTCGGCAATGTACAAACACACATTAGTAGACACTGGTGTAAACATTCACATCAGTGTGTATTGATGTGATGGTAGCACCAAAACAAATTTGGAACATTCACATTACTGATGTGAACATTTATATTACTAGGCAATGGTGTGAAAGTTGACATCAATAATGTGAACATTCACATTACTGTTCAGTAATGTATAAACACACATTATTAGCCACTGGTGTAAACATTCACATCAGTGTTAATTGATGTAAACATTCACATTATTGGCCATTGGTGTAAACATTCACATCAGTGTTAATTGATGTGTACATTCATATTACTGACCACTGGTGTAAAAATTCACATAAGTGTTAATTGATGTGAACATTCATATTACTGATATTTGTTATTTGTTTCAGTACTGGTTGTGTGAGCATATAACAATCTTACAACCCCACAACCCCAATGCCATTCCGCGATGTGTCAAGTAGGACCTCACAGCCTTACATACCAACATGAAGTCCATATCTTTGGCTAAGCTTGGTTTAAATCAGGTAGAAGTACAACCAAAAATATTGTACCCATTCACATAGTGAGACAAGAAACTATCTAACTAACATAATGTCTCCAACTGCAGGTATATGGCGGCGAGCTAATGGCATCTGCAACTGAAGCGAAGATGTACCATCATACA